ACAAATGGTGTTATTTATTAGCATTTCATATGACAGTATGCACAAAAATATATCACACCATATTAAGAATATTTTTTCTCTAAACTATATGAAGACATTTAGATTTTGATTTGAAAATAAATAAAGTAGATATACTGAAGCAAAATCATATACTACTAGCATAGAACTGATAAAAAAGGATGGCATAATTTACATATAGTTTGGCACTCCTGCCTAGGATCAGTGTTACACACACACACACACACACTATGTCAAAAATAATATTTTTTATCTAGTTATCCATTTACAAATAAGAAGAAATAAGAGAGGACATAGCTGAGTTGGTGAGAAAACATGTAATTATATATATGTATACACACACACACACTGTAAAAATAAAAAGCTAAAGCTTAAAATATAAAATAAACTGAGGGTTCAATGTCTGATGATTGTTGTTATATGAAACTAAGTTACAAATTTTGATATTATTGAATTGATACTATTATATCACACACACACACACACTATATCAAAAATAATTTTTTTATCTAGTTATCCATTTAGAGCCTGTTTCATGCATAGCAATTTTCAAAATGGGTATTTCTTTTACTTGGATGGCCACAAAATCTATCAATTCATACCTTTCTCATCAAGGGTATGTGTATGAAAACATGGTCAGCTGATGGATAACAAGAGAGAGAGAGAGAGAGAGAGAGAGAGATAGGTAGGTAATGTAGACATTGTCATCAATATTATTACACAATTATCAGTTTTAAGTCTCAAGTAGTCTTCAGACCATGGTTTTGAAAATTGCTTAGAAGATGACAACTGACGCTGAATTTTTGAAGATTGTAGTTGACATGGAAGCAAGAAATCAGAAGGGAGTTCCACAGGTGAGAAGTGTGAGAAAAGAAACTGTTAGAACAGAAGTGGTGGTTGCATTCAACAGTAAAATAGTAAGACCTAGTTGCCAATCTAGTTGCACTTTATAAAATTTAAAAAAAAATATCACCTGAAAATAATCTTAGAATACAAAAATATCTGCTAATGATTGGATGTAAACTTCCATGAAACTTGCAATACAAATTAAAAGAGATAAGTGAACTATTTTATTTTATATATATATATATATATATATATATATATATATATACATACATACACACAGCCATTGATTGTTTGTGTTCATTACCACATGGCAACAAAATTGCAAAAATCAGGGCAGTTGCAGTGAGAGAAAAAATTTATGAAAGAAATTAAGAAAAAGAAAAAATGGAAATTGGATGAAAGGAAAGAGAGGGAAGGACTGAGATGAAGGAAAGAGAGAAAATCTTGAGCTGTTATTATAACTTTACCTCTTTAAATGTGGGTGAAGCTTTATTTAATATTTTTCTTTGGAGCAACACACACATACACAAGGTGGGTGGGTAGGTAGTAAGGTGGTAGGTAGGTAGGTAATAAGGTATTAATAAGGTAGGTAAGGGAGGCATGTTGGAGTCATGGATAAGTGGCTCGGATTGAGGAATCGGAGAGCTGAGTTCGAATTCCAATTGAATTCATTAAATTCTCTTACATGCTAATACCCTTGGGAAAGGTATGAATCCTCCTCTTCTCCCCTCATGGGTAAATAGCAGGACAGACTGGGTTCTATAGCCTTGGATGGCAACTGGTCTACTGCAGAAAGAAATGTCAATGTACTGTGGGAAGAAATCTTCTTTGTAAGTCATGTATCAAAAGATACATGATTGCCTAAGCATGTATCATGTATGGCATATACTGACTGAGGTAGTAAGATATTAATAAAGTAGTTAGATAGGTAGGTAGGTAGGTAGGTAGGCAGGTAGGTAGGTAGGTAGCAAGATAGTAATGGTATTAATAATGTAGATAGGTAGGTAGTTAGGTAGGTAAGTAATAAAGAAAGTAGTAAGGTATTAATACAGAGATACTTTTTTTGAAATTTTGAAACTGATTTGTGCTTTCTCATAGAGTTGTACAAAAGTACAAACAAACTTCTACTGCATGCATCCAACAGTCTTGAGAGACTATGGAATAATGCTTTTGATAATGTTTCAGGCATTTTGTCTTCTGCTACTTTCCATCTTTCTTGTCTTCAAGGAGTCAGGCTGTTAACCATGAAGCAGATCTCCCTTTCCACATCACTGAAATGATCCAATACAAAGGTAAATAACGATAGATATTGTTCTATCACCATAAGACAGGTCATCAGGACGATGCTGAATTTAATCATGAATTGCTTTATGGACTGCAATTCCAGCTTTTTTCCTAGACTCCTGAAGCATTTCTCATAAGTCTGTACTGTTGCAAGGCAGCAGAGATTTTAAATTCAGATTTATAAACTGATTATCAAGCAAGGCTAGAGAACTCAATCTGCTTTGCTATTTACCCCAATACAGGTTGGGGGTAGAAGAAGAGATGAGGAATTCTTAACTTTTGTTTGTGCAAATGTGAACACAATAGCCATGGCTAGAATTTGAACTCAGCTTACCTACCTCATTTTCTACATTGATAGCTGCTGCTGAAATTTGAATTTAGTAAGTTTCTAGAAATTTTGCTTTCTCAAAAGAAAATGTAAGTTCTGTTGGTAAAAGTGCCTAAAAAGGTAGCTGAAAACATTTTTCTAAATAAAAAAAATGTTCAATGTACTTAGAAATTTTAGAAAATTTTCTTTTGAATGATAGTCAAATTTTAATTTGATCTAATGACATTTTTTTCCAATTAATTTATTTTTGTCACTTTGTCAGAAAATGAATTGACAGAAATATTGGAAGCACAAAGCAAACATTTGGTCTTGCAAAAAGCTAAAACATATTCAAAATTTTTTTACCATTTCAGTCAGTAAAATAAATATGATTCTCGACCCTTTAGATTGAATTATTATTTATAAAGTGCATAGTGCAATAAATGTTTGAAATATATACAAGGTGTGGCAGAAATACCTGCCACATAGTGGTAAGAAAGTAAGAGGTATATGTGGGAGGTATTTCTGTCGCATCCTTCACAAGAAAATAAATAAAGAGATTTCTGTAGTGCAACATAATAAATTAATGATTTTGCACTTTCATTATCTTTTTCTTCTATTTGCCATGTCCTTTCAGGATGTTGGCGATCATGATTCTCCACAATTTCTTGTCCTTTGTAACTCTTATTATGTTGTCTTTTTATTATCTCTCCTAAACCCTGTTTTGCCATCCATTTACACAAGCTTTTTGTTTTTCTCTGTCCCTCTCGCCTTCAATCTGCCCTATGAGTATCAACTTTTCCAAACCCTCTTTTTTCATTATGTTCCCTAGAAATTTCAACAAGTGTCCTTTTTGTTTCCATTTTCTCTATAACATTGTTACTGCTCACATGTTCCAACAATTCTCAGCATCTTTCTGTAGAATCATATTTCTATTGTTTCAAATCCCTCCATCTGTGAGGAGATTGTCTACCTTTCACTGCCATAAAGGAGGAATGATATTATGTAACAGTTCAATACTCTTTTCTTTGTTTTTAACAAACTTTTTCTGTTTCTTAATACTTTACTCCACTGATGCTATCCCAATGTACCTTCAGATTTTGTAATTTCCGTCCTCTGTTAAAACACTTCCCAAATATTTAAATTGTTGTACTTGTTTGATTTTGGTATCTCCAATTTGTAATTTGCATTTTGGACTCTTCAAAATAGGTATCACTTTGCATCAGTGCTATTTCCTTTCTCTCCACACTCTTTATTTTCTAACTAGAGTTGTTCATACCAACTCTAATGCAATAGACAGATATCATGTAATCATAATCAGAGTGTTGGTAGTCATGTGTTTCTGTCCCTGGTAGCTCTAAGCAACATTTGATTCTACCATCACTCCTAGCCCTTGCTCTTCATACACGCACTATCTCTAGGTTAATTACTGTTTCCTTCTATCCACTTTTCCATTAATACATCCTGTGAATATTAAATATTCCTAGTCATCCTTCTTCATAATGTGTACCATAAATTTCATCTCTTTCTTCTTGATTTTAAGTATGAGTGTCTTTTTAGATCTCATTTTCTTCAAAAACTTTCTCATTGCTCACATGTTCTGTTTAATGTTTATAGTATTCTTGGCATCCATCTGAAGACCTTCTGACATTTCAAATAAAATTTTAATTTTGAATGAACTGCATTCCTTTGTTCCACCAGTTCTAATCTTCATAGCCAGGACTCATCATGCCACTCACATTGTAGCAAACTACCTACATTCCCTCTGAATTCCATTGATGTGAAGTAAGTTCCACTCGAGTAGCTTCCCCTCACACGAACCTCTGCTCTATGGAACCAAGTGCCAAGAGTATGTTTCTCTGATCACTACACTCTTGTTCAAGTCTAGGGTTAACTGTTATCTTCCCCTCTTATCCATATAAACTGCCCCTTACTGTAACCCTCTAGCTCGAGTGCACCCCCTCAATGTTAAAAAAGAAAAAAAAAAGGCATCCAAGAGATGTGTTTCTACCAACTTACATTGGAAATAGCATGAACACAGCGTGTGACAAAGTTTTAAGAAGAATAGAAATTACAAAGAAATTATTGCTAACAATCAGAAACAGCTGACATTTTTGGGGACACATAAAGAAGAAAGAAGACCCGGTAAATTTAAGACACATGGGGCACATCAAAGGCAAGAAAAACAGAAAAAAGATTTGATGAGAAACTTACTTGATAATTTTGTGTAAATGGATGGCAGATCAAATATCATGGAAGGATTGTAAAGAAGTAAGTTTACAGAAAGTAATAAAAGACCGGAAACTGTGGAGAGCCATGATCGCCCACATTTTAAGAAGAGACACGGCACATAGAGAAGCAAAGAAAAGTTACATATGGCGGGACTACTATAAATCAAATGAGAAATACGCATTTAAAGTGAGTTCGCAAGTGCGTGTAGAGGGAAAAACTCCCGAGAAACGTGGAAATGCATGTCTTCTCTGTTTCCTTCTATTCCAACTGGATGAACATTAACTACTAAACTGAGACGTGAGGGCCTCACTCGTTGGGTGGCCACTTCCAACTGACTTGCTTGTTTTCTCGTTTCTCCTTCTTCCGTGTTTCCAGGAAAGCAGGAAGAAAAGAAACAATCCAAACGCTGCCATTAAACAAAAGAGGGGGAAAAAAAAGAAGAATGACGAAAACAGAGATTATAAAAGTGAGAGACATGCGTTTGAAATACTAGCGACCGACACAACGACTCACAACAAACGACAAGTGCCTTTGCGAAAGAAAGAGAGGGAGGGAGAGAAAAAGAGAAAACGCCTCCATACTTGAACCCCTGCCTTACCTACCAAGTCTCAAAAGTGCTTCTTCCCTTTACTTTTCCACCCATTTTCCAACATCAAGTTAAAAAAACAAAAAACAAAGTCAGTGGAGCTGCTACGTGATATACACACCGACACAATAGATCAGTCATTTTAACTGTTTTTGAGCAAATGACGGGTAAGCGCTTTGGCTCAACTAGTAAAACATTAGTATTTAAATGCAACAAATTAGATTTGAAGTCTTTTTGACTTTGAATAACAGATACCATCAAATTTGCTTGCATTGAAAATTAAGGTGAATTACAGATTGAAGAAAATAGGGGGCTTAAAATATTGTATTTGAATGAATATGAATATTGTACGCCAGGAAATTTCTTTCTTTCTATATGAAACGTCCTGGAAAATGTTGGAAATCGAACATTTATTCTTAAGAACAAAGTGTGTAAAGTTACTATTAAACATAAGGACAGAGAAAAAGATTTGTTGATGTGAAATAAATACACATTTTTGTTGTTGCTTTTTTTTTTTATTGTAAATGGCGTACTCAAAATATAAATAAAAAATATCTGCTAACCCTTAGAAATCATATTTCCTGCAAACTAACATTATTTTTTTTTTTACTGAGAATAGTGAGTGTATCTGTATTTATGCAACAAGAGCTGCCGTTTTTAGATGTTTTCGCTTTTATTTTTTTAATTTAAATTTAATTAAAAAAACGAAAAGCAACTAGTAATTATTATTATTATTATTAAAATTACAGACTTGCATCTTTAAAGATTTTTTTATACTCGTATACCAATTTTAAACATAAATTGAAGACAGGCGTACTGCCGAAATATTGTTTACCAACATTGTTAAACTGTCTTTTCTTTTTTCTTAAATCGTGCTCTTCTTTCAGTGCCGGTTTATTATTATTATTTTTATTTATTTATTCATTCTAACCCAGTGACTCAAAAGGACAGTTCAGGGTTTAACGAAGTATGCTGTCTACAATTAAAAAAATAAAAAGAAAGAAACACTTTACTAACACTAAAGAGTTATCAGTTGTGAATTTCATTTTCCCTTGCGATACATACTTAACAGTTCTTCATTCAACCAAAATTCAAAAATATTCTTTCGGTTATTGTCAGATTCCATGGTGCGAATATTAAGGAAGCATCTTGTTCTTGTTTCTCTTATAGACAGAGTCTAAGAGAGAATAATACTGTCGGGGACAAATGCAAGAGAAGAGCGACAATCTTTAGCAAGTGTGTCATTCTAAGTGTCCTATTTCGACTGACTTAAATTTTGTTGTTTCAAATTGCTTTGTGGTATTTAATTAAATTTGGAGAATCATTTTTGCAATTTTTGGTATTGAGGAAAATATGGAAGATTCTTTTTTAAAAATTTCATCTTAGTGCATGAGAAAATTGGTATGTGTACCTTATCTACTATACCACGACAATTGCAACTCAGCGTACTCTGATGGGAGTTTGTGCTTTCAATGTTAAACTTTGCAATATTTTAGTCTTGACTGAAGTTAGATTTGAGGCAACAGACATGTAAATCTACAGAACGATGATGAGAATAATATGGACTGAAAATGTGAGTAATGAGAACGTTCTAAAGAAAATGGGAACTAACATATCTAACAAATTTATACAAATAGATGGCAGAACAGGGAATTGGAGGGAAACTAAGAAGGCAAATATTATTTATAACAACAAAATGTAGGAAGGTGTGAAGAGCCATGATCGCCCACGTTCTGAATGGACATGACATCTAGAAAATATTAAGTACCTGCATGGATGTATTGAAAATATATTTTCTTTCTAAAAGGAAAATCGACAATTAGGACATCTGTGGTTCATTAGCAGCTTCTTTAAAATCACTTAGAGCTACAAAAAATAGGAAATTGTGAAGAGCCATGATTGCTTAGGTCCTGAATGGACACGACACATAAAAAGAAAAAGAGGAAATTTGTCTGAATATCAAATATAAGAGTTGGTAAGTTCCGATCAACGCAATAAAAAAAGAAAGCGTCCATATTGTTCACTAACGATAATTCGATTTTCACACTTAAGGAATACCAAACACTTGTTATCGCAGACTCTCGAAGAATTTGGGTAGTAATATGGAAAGCAGAGTGCGACAGATTAAAAGATACGTGGAACATAGTTCTATTTTTTCTAACCATTAACAGAAAAAACGAGATCGACTTTTAAATACGGTGTGGAAAATATGTCATATATAGAAGAATATGGGTTAAAAACTATCGTAATAAATGTTTTACACTGCTCTACAAAGGATTTTGAGCAAAAAGAAAGAAAAGTGGGCGGTTTTACTAAACTAGTGCGTACTCCTTTATGTTAAATAAAGAAATCAAAAAGTACTTTTTAAGGGATTGTCAACACAAATAAATGAGCTAGCCTGAGAACTAAGTGACGTTTGATATAAACTGAAGGAGTGAACTAATATATACATCTCTCTCTCTCTCTCTCTCTCTTTCTATGTATCATGCTCCTTCAGGACATAGGAAATAATGACTCCCCACAACTTCCTGTCTTTTGCTGATATAAATAATTATTTTCTTTTACGACCCGTCTTTGTCTTTACGATACTTATTCCTTCATCCATTTGCAAAAACCTACTCACATAGCTTACTCATCATTTCCCATTGTTTCTTATGTCTTCAATGATCCCTGTGAATGTTAAACTTTCCAAACCTGCTTTCCACGCGAAGTGTCCACAAAATTTCAGCTGTCTCATTCTGTTTCTTAGCAGTTTCCCTGTAGTTCTTATTCTCTTTAAAACTTTCCCGTTCTTGATATACTCTGTGCATAATATTCTTAACGTCCGTCTATAGAACAATATGTCTGTCATTTCAAATTTCTTCTTCATGTATAGGATATAAGGTATTACACCGTAGCCCAGCACTCTTCTTTGTTTCTAAGGACATTTTTCGATTCCTTAGTACATTTTTACAATGATGTTCACCCTGTAGGACCAAGAGCCACTCGAGGTAGAGGGTTACAGAGTAAAAGACCCCCCCAAACAAGGTTATAATACCACCAAGACGCAAGGAGGCCATCAAAAGTGAAAGAAAAGGAAAAAAAAACTTTAGAGGAAACCAGAAACCCAATCCTAAACAGGAAATAAGGGATAAAACTCTACCTTTGTTCAAAAGAACAGGGAGGAGTGCGAGTCGGATGATAGGCGAGCCTATCTTGTACTGTTGAGGAAAAATATAAATAAATATTAAATACGTTATAAGTATAGAGTTGAAGTAGACTTTAGAAGAAACCGAAAGCCAATCCTCGACAGGAAACAAGAAATAAACCTCTACTCCTGTTCAAAAGCCAGAGGAGGAGTGTGAACCGGACGATAGGCAAACCTATCTACTCCTATTACTTTATTCAGTTTCTGAAAAAGTAGCTTTCGCTATTCCTATGCGTTGTTCAATTTCTATAGCACACTTTGCGTCTGATTGATTTCTACGTGCTAGATACGTAACTCACACCATATATTGTTCCTTTTGCTGACAACCACGCGTTCTGTCTTCTTTCAGCTAAAGGTTAATACCTTTTTATGCTTTCTTTTACGCCTTTGTTCAATAGTTCTTTCAGTTCTCCTTCTGAATCTTTCATCGATACAATATTGCCTGCGTAGCGAATATTGTTAACGTCACGTCCGACGATACGTGACGTGGCTTCCCTTTGTCTTTTCTACAAATATTTTCATGGCAACTGCTCTGACAAGTTTTTTTTCCCTGGTGCCCCGACTACATGAACTTAAGAGTGCTACTAGATTGGCATCTAGGTCCTACCGGTACTGCTGAAATAGCAAAATGCAACCGTCACTTCTACTCCAACAATTTCTTTTCTCGCACCTCCCACATGTGGAACTCTCTTCCGTTTACGTGCTTCTCTGATAACTACAATCTTCATGGGTTTAAATGCAACGTCGGTCGCTATCTTGTCTTCTTGAATCATGTTCATCTTTTGTCCTTTCCTCAATCCTTCCTATACTCAGTCTTTTCGCTCACTTTAACACCTTGTAACCTTCTGCGTACTAGTGACATTCCCCCTTGCTTGGGGTGAAGTGATTAAAAAGAAGAAAAGTAAAAGTCTTCTACACTCCGATAATCACCTTGCTGTCCAAGTTAAATAAATCCAACGAGAAAACACATCCTTGTCGTTCTCTTCTTTCTCTAATAACTAGCTTTCTGTTCGCATAGAATCTGTTTGCTTCCAGTACAGATTACACATTTGAATATCCTTTCCATTTAGATCAAGGTTTCCTAATATTTCAAGGAGTTCTTCATGTCACTTTATCGGTTACTTTTGTGTAATCTATAACACATACAGATCTGCACTTCTACTGCTTGCTTTAATATCATGCTGATAATGAAAAATGAGTTTCTTGTTCTTGCGTCATGAACAAAGCTACATTATTCTTGCTCTGTTTTCTGTATAATTCTACTACGACATATATTCATTACAATTGTAATTATTAGTTTAATTATGTGACCCGTTAAGCTGATTGTTTGATTGAATTCGTATTCATTAGAATCTAGTTTCAATGGCAGCACTATGAAGATTGCTCAACTGAGATCCTCAAATATTTAACCGCTTTAATATATTTCACTTATCATTTCGGTAACCTTATCAATCCCCAAATCGTCTCAGATTGTCAAGCATCTGACCTATTGCTTCTTTTTAATATTGTCCAGTGCCAACCTAACCTCAGATTTTAGTTTCACGGATCCTTTTATGAGTTTAGTAATTTTTTCTCCTCTGTTATCATAGAACTGCTCTCTTACGTATTCATTCCATCTCGGTTCTATCTTTTTTTATTATTAAGTCTTCATTTTTAGGTGTTATGCATTCTGTCAAAGAGCACGTTTTCAACCTTGCTGTCTGT